ATAAAATAATATCAAGTCACCACAATCATTTCATGCCTTCTGGCATTTAAGACGAGAAAAATCAAATGCATCGGGTGCTGTGAACGAAATTCAGAGACTGGTTCCAGCATCAGTTATTATATTTGATTAAAAAAAAAAAAAAAAAAGCTACCAAAATTCTAAGAGGATTAAACACGGGAAAAAAAATAAAATAAAAAAGTATACACAATCAAGAAAACACTAATTAACCAAAAAAGAATATTCAAGAGATTGAGAATAAGATTTTCAATTGCGAAAGGGTTTTTTAGATTATGCGTTTCTTGAAAATCTCCTTGTTCAATGATGAGAGCTACAAACGCATTTTACTAATAGAACGCACCTTGATCTGATAGGCTTTCGCATTACATCTCTCCGGTGGGTTAGTCGATTGGCATAACTCTCGCCTCAAATCCTGCTTAAATTCCTTACTCTGTGTTTGGCAGCAAGGTGTATTGAATATTATAAATATATATATATATATATATATTAACAAAATATTTCTACAAAAACATATAGGAAAATTTTATTTTCTTTAAAAATTTATATAAAATTTCAATTATACTCATCTTTTTACTTACTAAAATAAAATGTGTTTATGCATAATTTTTTTATAAAAATATTATAATAATTATATCTCTCTTTATGTATCATCCTATTAAATTTTATTATTTATATTCCTTTTATTTTTTTTAAAATATTTATTAATTATAAATCTATTTAAATCTATTGTCATATTTAACAAGAATATAGACAATTTAGGTAAATTATAACATTTTTTATTAGTTTTCATGCTGTCCAAAATATGAAATGAGATTTTTTTATGTTAATTAAATGAATTTCATGCTAATCAAATGAATCCTTAAAATTTTATTTTTCTTTTCTTTAGTTCACTTTCTTACACTATTTCCACTGTAAATTTCCATAAAACCAAAAGATCCTTAACGCCACTCTAGAATTTAGTTTTTACTTTATTTTATTTTTTATAATAATTGTCAAGTGCACTTGTAACAGAAAACTTTCTATGTGAATTATGTAATTACTTAATGCATGTGAAATGAAGAACTGCATGTGTAACGTGCTAATTATAAATATTAGTTGTAATGTGTAATATTATATTTAGTCACTCAAATTGTCTAACAGAAAATATAAAATAAAAACATATCATCTTCCAATTAGTTCTAAAGAAGTTATAGAGAATTTTGTTATATATCAAAATATTTTTTAATAGGAAGTACTGTATAAAATGTTTTGTGTGGGCTTGTGTATGTTCAGGTAAGTACTCACACTTTTGCATACTCCCAAGGCTCGAACCCCTCCTCTCATCTTGAGGAGGGGAAGTTATACCATACCATTGGGCTTGAAGCCCTTTTTGGTTACTATACGTGAAATGTTTGTCCAAGAGAATGCCAAGATTGCTCACGTAGTCTCTAATCCATGAATTTGTCATAATCATGTTTCGTTTATTTAGTTTTGAATCCTGATGGCTAAAAATGTTACTGTATTCTTTGTGGTGGCTATATTCTGCTATGAACCATATAGATGATTGCTGTGATTGTGTGAATTGCGTGAATAAATGCGCTATGCGGTAGTCTTTTGTGAAAATTTTGGCATCATAATTATTTAGAGCATCTAAACTTTGCAGCAAGAGAAATTTTCATGGGTAGGGTTTTAGTGGTTGCGAGAGGGATTTACAAAACTTTGCAAAGGTTGATGACGTATCAAACTTTAAGCGGTTTTCACATTATAATGGGCCACATCATTTAGTCAACCTTATCTCTTAAAGGTGTGTTGTCGAATTTTTATTGGCCCTATTCACGTTACAACTAAGCAACTTCAAGTGACAATATTTGAAACTGTGTTAAAGGGTGAAATTATCTTTTGCCTTTTCCGGTGACCTGATGGGGTGAATTGCAACAAAATAATAGTTTAGAGGGGTTTCTTGTAGTTCAGAAGGGTTTCTTGCAAAACCACAATAGTTCAGGGAGTTTTTTACATTTAACCCTAATAATAATAGTAAAATTATCTTTATATACATATATACCCATGTATATATATAGACCACTATCCATGGATAAATATTCATACCCATAAAAACTTCTATCCAAGTAGTCCATGCAACCCATTGAATTGGTCCATTACTACTATCCAAATTCATATCCTTTAAAAAATATAAAATAAAATAAACATTAAATTCCTAAATAATTACACAAAATCGTATAGCATTTAAACAATCAATTTTATACAACAATTAATTAAAAATACACCATTTAAGCACACAATTAAAATAAACAAACAATTCAATTAAAACACATAAACAATTAGCCACGTAATCAAATAATAAATAAAATAATTAAATAAATCCTAAGACTATATTGTGTCATTTTTTTCATGTATATGAAAATGTTCAACATTCCAAAATAAAAAATAAAAAAAAAAAGGTTAAAAAATTTGAAAAACATATGTATTGATGTGGCAATTGCTGCAAGCAAAAAATTTAATTTATGGAATAAAATCATAAAAGTAGTGTATTTTGGTAGAAAATAGTATACATATTATTTCTCTTATAATTAGTTATTTAGTGAAAATCAAAAGCTTGACCACTGGAATTACAACTTTGAATGATCAGTCACATTGGTGATGGCAAAACCCACAAAGCTTAGCAGAAAATAAACAAGGCAGAAATTAGTCTTAGAGGGAGGCAAAAGTCTCTGGTTTGACTTCCTTTGGCTGTGTGTGTGGACCTAATTAGTGGAGACGAAGACCATTTAACCAAAGTTTTATACCTCCCAAAATTAAGTGGAACCATTAAATACGTTAATATATCAATCTCATCTTAATTTCGACGGAAGATAAAACTCTCAAAATTTTTCTAAGTGGAACCATCAAATACGTTAATATATCAATCTCATCTTGACTTGGACGGAAGAGACCTGGTCTAGCAAGTTTGCCGTGGAGAAAATTTCATCACAACCAATTGGGGGCCTTTTCTTTTTTTTTTTTTTTAAAAAAAAAAAGGCTGGTAATTCTATTTTGACTTTTCATATTTGGAAACTTTTAAAAATTCTTTTTATGTTTCCTTCACAATTCTCAACTCTACAAATATGAGTTTTGATTTTGAAATACTGTTATCTTATTATTTTTTCAAATGAGAATTAAAGAAATTTAATTTTATTATTTTTCACAATTAGAGAAATAATAAATAATAAATAAAATCAAAAATGTTATTTTATTATTTTATTATTTTTCAATTATGCTCAAATAATAAATAAAATCTAAAAAAATTATTATGCTCGAATAATAAAACTAAAAATGTTATTTATTAATTTTCAATTATTCTCGAATAGTAAATAAGATATTATTATATTATTTTTCAATTATACTCAAATAATAAATAAAATTAAAAAATATTCATTATACTCAAATAGAAAAATTAAAAGTGTTATTTTATTATTTTTCAATTATACTCAAATAGTAAATAAAAAAGTTAATTTAAAAAAATAAAATAAAACCAAACAAATGTTCTTACTCTCTTTTCAAAAATGTAATTGCCGAGAAGGTCACAAAGCAAATGTAATTTGAAAAGGCTCGTATTACAGCATTTTTGCTTATTGTGACTTCAACCCGTAAGCTTGATTCACATAAAAATTACTAAATGTGTTCTGAATGAATTTCTTAACAACAGAACCATCCCAAAAAACCTATATTTCACATAAATTTAAACTATTGAGATTTCAAACCTAATTTCTATAATATTATTTTTTATAGCAGAAGAACTCTAAGAAATGGTCCAATAAAAAAAAGGATTTGAAGACATTATTCATCACCTTCATATATAATAAATATTTATATTATTGGAGTTAATTGACAAGGATGGAAGGTCGACAAACTCAGGAAAACCTCACCAAAAATGGCCATCCCAAAATCAGCTCCTAAATTAAAGTAAAATGTACCGGCCTTTTGATTCAGTTTTCTGTTTGAAAAAAAAAAAAACAAACAAACCAAATTAGTCTCAAAATTCGTTTAACTGACAATTGTGTTGAAATCAATGCACGAGGGGAAAAAATTTAAGAAAAGAACCGAATTTAATAATATATTTTGGTTCGTTTGGGTTGTTGTGATTATCAGTCGTCTTCTTAAAATTACTGTTTGTTTTTCAAGTTCTTATGAGTTATTTATGTATATTTGGACTAAAAACAATCTGAACTTGTCAAATTTTCTTCTAGTTATTCATGAATTCGAACACATATCTTTTCCAACTAAAATAAATTATAGTGTAAATTTGAAAATTTCCATGTAAGGGGCTTCCTAAAAATTTTGAAAAGAAGAAAAACAGTTATTATTGTGGCTTCCTAAAAATTTTGAAAAGAAAGAAAAACAGTTATTATTGTGGGAAAAAAAAAAAAACAAAAAATGGAAATGCATATTACCTACAACCCAAAATAAATAAAACAAAAATGAATAAAGAAAAGGGAGAGAGAGAAGAAAATAATTTCCCTTCCTAATGAAAAGAGTTTGACTCCGGTGGTCTACGTCAACTTGCATTATTACTCCTGTTCTTTAAAAAATCAATAAATTTATTAAAAATCGATTAAGAAAAAAAAAATCACAATTAGAATAATTAATTTTGTTAGCTTACATTGATTTGATTTTGTTATATGCGGACCACAACTGCGACTATAGTGCAAATTTCGAAAAAAATAGGATTGAAAAAAAGGAAGACCTTGACACCAGTGTCTAAGTCAACTTGTGTTATATCATTTTGTATTATTATGGGTGTTCTTTAAAAATTCAATAAAAATAATTAAAATTTATTAAAAATCCATCTATATATAAATAAATTTAAAAAAATAAAATTACAATTGCTATAACTAAAAAAAAAAAAAAAAAAAAAAAAAAAAAAAAAAAAAAAAAAGACCTTGACTCCGGTGTCCAAGTCTCCTCCACACAAGTCCTTTTAAGTCTCTTGAGCATGATGATGATTATAAGCCCATCTGTTACATGCAATTGAATCCGATCAAATAAAACTTAGAATCATGTTATCCTCCAAATCCAATTCCAATTCCAATAATCTATTGTTTGTTATATGGTCTGTCTCACTCTTTTACTATGCTACTAATATTATTTTTACTATCTCTATACCTTATGTGGTGGCAGGGTCCACATCATCGGCATCGTCAAGAGAATTGGAACTAGAAGCTCTGCATAATAGTGGGTGGTGGGAAAACACGTCAGATGTTCATTGTAAATGGACTGGTATAGTTTGCGATGAGGCTGGAAGTGTCATCCAGATTAACCTACCTCACTGGAATACATTGGAAGATAAATTGGGGAAATTTAACTTCTCTTCCTTCCCAAACCTGGTCCGACTTGACCTCAGCTGCAATATGTTGTATAATGATTATACACTCTCTGAGTCGAGTGTGCCAGATCAAATAGGTACACTTTTAAAACTCAAGTACCTCAATTTGTCCTCTAATCGTCTTTATGACAAGCTACCTCTTTGGCTGACTAATCTGACTGAATTAGTAGAGCTTGATATTTCTCGGAACCATATTATATATGGTTCCATCCCTCCAGAAATAGGGAATCTAAAGAATTTGATTTATCTTGACCTCAGTCACAACCGTCTCCAAGGAACAATCCCAACGGCTGTTGCCCACTTACCCAATCTGACCTCATTGGACCTAAGTGACAACCAACTCAGTGGATCAATTCTTTCCGGCTTAGGGTCTTTGACAAATCTGATTGAGATAAACCTTGGTTACAACCAACTCGAAGGATCAATTCCATCCGGCTTAGGGTCTTTGACAAATCTGATTGAGATAAACCTTGGTTACAACCAACTCACTGGCTCCATACCTTCAAGTCTCTGTGAATTGTCCAAATTGACGTTCTTGTCCCTTGCTTCAAATCAAATCAATGGTTCCATCCCTGCAGAAATAGGGAATTTGAGTAATTTGGTAGATTTAAGACTCAATGATAACAAAATCAGAGGCCCAATCCCTTCAAGTCTCTGTGAATTGTCCAAATTGACATACTTGTCCCTTGCTTCAAATCAAATCAGTGGTTCCCTACCTCAAAACCTTACCAAATTATCTGAACTCACATATCTTGACATTTCCTCCAACCAACTCACTGGCTCCATACCAATCCCAACTGCTATTAAGAATTGGGCTAATTTGAAACACATGAAATTGTTGGGCAACAGCTTGAATGGCAGCATTCCGCCTCAGATAGCTAAGCTTCCTTCGCTATCATACCTAGATCTCTCATACAATACCCTCTCTGGCAGCATTCCGCCTCAGATAGCTAAGCTTCCTTCGCTATCATACCTAGATCTCTCAGACAATAGCCTCTCTGGCAGCATTCCGCCTCAGATAGCTAAGCTTCCTTCGCTATCATACCTAGATCTCTCATACAATAGCCTCTCTGGCAGCATTCCGCCTCAGATAGCTAAGCTTCCTTCGCTATCAAACCTAGATCTCTCATACAATAACCTCTCTGGCATCATTCCATTTCCCCCATCTCTTATATGCAAAACATCCATCATTTACTTGGATGGCAATCCTTTTCTTGAGAATAAATATTCATGGTATGAAAAATCTTATTCTGTTTCTTGCCATCCATCATCTTCCAAGAAAAGAATTGCAAATTTTCTTCCAATTGCAATTTTTCTTCCAATTGCAATTTTCATTGTCTCCATAATTCTAGGATATTTTTACTACTCAAAACGCAAGGTTAAGAAAACCCAGTCTCAGTCCAGAGTGACAAAGCATGGAGATTTGTTCTCAATATGCAATTATGACGGGACAATTGCATTCGAAGATATAATCGAAGCAACGGAGGACTTTGACATCAGATACTGCATTGGGACCGGAGGATATGGGAGTGTTTACAGAGCACAACTGCCCAGTGGGAAAGTAGTTGCCTTGAAGAAACTCCATCGCCTGGAAGGCGAAGTGCCAGCTTACGATAAAAGTTTCAGGAACGAAGCACACTTTCTATCACAAATACGACATCGGAACATTGTGAAACTCTATGGGTTTTGTCTACACAAGCAATGCATGTTCCTGGTGTATGAGTACATGGAGAGGGGAAGCCTTTTTTTGGTCTTGACAAGTGAAGTGGAAGCTATGGAGTTGGAATGGACTCAAAGGGTGAATGTAGTGAAAGGCATTGCCCATGCTTTGTCTTACATGCACCATGATTGCACTCCACCCATTCTTCACCGTGACATTTCGAGCAACAACATTCTATTAGATTCAGAATCCAAAGCTTGTGTGGCTGACTTTGGCACTGCTAGATTGCTGGATCCTGATTCGTCTAATCATACCGTGATAGTAGGCACTTATGGATATGTTGCTCCAGGTACAACACTGCTCTTTATTCCTTAATGTTAACTATATCTACCATTCTTTCCGTCTAATAAAAAGGGAATATAATTAACAAAATTGCGTATTATAGCATTTTTTTTTTTTTTTTAAGTTTTTGGTTACAATTTAACAGCAAAATTGTTTTAGTTGGTAAAATGTTTTCTATTCCAAGAATGATTTACTCTTCTACTAGCTGCAAGTCATTTTAGGACTTTTTAGTTGAAGGATCTCTGAGTATGGAAGAGACTGTGGTTTTACTCTCTCTACATTTTCCAACAAAATCATAAGGAAAAATTCAAAAAATCTCACCATCTGTACAAAATCAAATCTCACTATCTGTACAAAATCATAAGGAAAAACAATTAAATGTGTCTGTAACTGCTTCACTATGGATGAAACAAATTGATGGACAAATTCCATAATATTTAATTTTGAAACAATCTCGTTATTTATTTATTTATTTTTTTCTTACTGCAAAGGATAAAGTAAAAGTTGGTTTCCTCTTACATGTATATTTCTTGTTGATGCATCACTTGCATAATTCTTTTTGTTGATGCAGAACTTGCCTTCACCATGGTTGTGACTGAAAAATGTGATGTTTATAGCTTCGGAGTTGTGGCACTAGAAACACTCATGGGAAGGCATCCAGGAGAACTTCTCCAATCATTAGCATCAACATCAACTCAAAATATAATGTTAAATGATGTGTTAGACGCACGCCTCCAAGCTCCAGCAAGCGGAGTGGTTGCACGGGATGTTGTTCTGGTTGCTACATTGGCATTTGCTTGCTTACATCCTGAACCAAAGTCTCGGCCGACAATGCTACGCATCTCTCAGGAGTTTCTCGCTAGCAGGTACTCACTTGCTAAACCACTGCAAAAAATCTCACTGTCAGAGCTAATGAATCCAGATACATATTTGATCAATTAATCCTGTAATCTTTGTATTAGTCACTGCAAAATACAAAGTGATAGGGTTAATTTCTTGCTTGCTGGATTTCCGCTAGTTATTTGACTTTATGCATTCCTATTATGGCGTCTAATAAATCAAGATGTTCATCCGTTCAATTGATACATTAAATTTGTGAGTGTCTCAAGATGTTTTAAGAAGAAATGTCATGAAGCTTAACGAGGACATATTTTAAGAAGTTGTAGGCGTATTCACATCAGTTATTATATTTGATAAAAAAAAATAAAAAAAAAAACCTACCATAATTCTAAGAGGATTAAACCCCCCCAAAAAAAAAAAGAAAAAGGCAGACACTATCAAGAAAACACTAATTATCCAACAAAGAATATTCAAGAGATTGAGAATAAGAAGAAGAAGTCGGGTACAGAGATTGCCGGTGCAAATGATGTGGAGATCCCAATTGCCAGCACTAACATCATTCTCTTCTACTCCAACATTTTACATAAATCACCCAATGCTCAAAAATTTTATCACAATCTGCACCAAATTTTACAATAACTAAATTAACAAATAATTAACACCCGAATCTGCACCAAAATTTACAATTACTAAATTAACAAATAATTAACACCCGAGTAATGGCGAAGCACACAAATCTTCCAAAATTCTTGGAAAAAAATGGAAATTGTGACTTTATTCCTTAACATCACCTAACAGACAAAACCCAAAGATCCCAACACAAAATTTCAAATTCCATGGAATCGTGTTGATTCTACGGCTGTATTTTCAAGATCTACATAAAAAGCGTAAAATCGCATTGAAATATACAAAAATACACACACACATGAACACATGTACAAACGTATTCAAATCAAGACTCAGATTTGAGTTTTCAATTGCGAAAGGGTTTTATAGATTATGCCTTTCTCGAAAATCTCCTTCTCCTTGTGAGAGCCACAAGCGCATTTTACTAATAGTAGTACACCACAGTAGAACGCACCTTGCAGTGTTCAAAACGTTGCGTTTTTGTTTTTTTTTTTTTTTTTTTTTAACTCCCTAGCTCCCCAATAATAATAATAAATAAATAAATGTCATGCTTTTCTTTTTAGCATGTCCCAAAATAATTGTTCCTTTCGTTTTTCAAACACTATATTTTATATTTTTTCATATACATTCTTTGAGTTTAAAATTTAAAATTTTAATATTTAAAGTTTAGAAGGACAAATTAATAACTTTCTAAGAAAATAACGCATCCATAAAAATTTCTATTCCCCCAAAACAATATCTAAATTGAGACAATGGGAATCACATAGACTATTTGGATAGGAGGTTTAATGGTTATTATATATATAGATATGAGATAATTCCAAAAAAATGTTGTTTTGGAGGTCAAAGGACAAATAAATGGAGTCAAATTCAAGTTTTTCAAATTAATGGAGTTTTCTCAAATGCTAACATGGACATGGATTTTACTGTAGATCATTTATCCATTCCCAAACTGCCCCTCAAGAATTGACCCAACAACCCAGAACACGAAGGTACCAAGAATTCCATCTATTTTGTTTTGTTTGGATCTGTTAATTTCATCCAAATGAGTTTTGATTTGGCCTCTATCTTGACTCAGAAAATTAACATGGGTTTGCCCTAATTCGCCGCAATCAACTCTAACCAGAATTGGAAACTGGTCCGGTTGAAGGGCAGTCTCTAGCAACGGAAGCCAAACAGTCCTTAGATCCGTCACTGCCGATGACGCCTTTCACTGCTCCAATCGAACCTTGGGATCTGATATACGAAGTTGCTGGACAGTTCGCGAGCTTGAAGACGAACGGTGAAGGACCTGTGCAAATAAAAATGTTGCACAAATTGTTTATAAAGATATGAGAAAATTTTATATGTTGAGATATGTGAATGGTAAGAACATTTAATTAATCAGAGAAACGGATGTATCACCATTCCTTGGTACATCAGACGGTTCTCGAAGCAGTACTGGGACACAAAATTGATCACAGCCAAGAAACGGTGCCACTACGTATATCGGATTTATCAACCCATCACCGTTCGTCTTCAAGCTCGCGTGGAGCTTAAAAAAACACAGTGCCACTCGAATCACTCTCTCACTCCAAATTTATCAGAGGCCAGTCATGTAAGCTCTATAATTAAACAGAGTTTTGGCAGAAACATCAGCCATTTGATTGTACAAAATGCCCTTAACAGTCCAACCAAAGTTTTTTCTCTTCTCGACCAAATTCTCCGGCCAGAATCCCATCGTAGCACCACCACCACTCCACTTGCAAGTGCAACATAAACAATCTGAATTTACAATTTGGGTCTAGACATGTATAATATACTTATTTAATTTTGACATTAAGCAACCCCATCATATAAATGTATAATTTGATTTCAGTCAACTTTCACGCAACCGCAGGCCAACAGTATTGAAGTCGGATTTGATAAATCTAATTTCAATCCAACCCATCAACTTTATGTTCTGTCTTTCTCTAATCTATGACCGCCTTTGTGCTTTATTGTAAGATCAAATTTCCCAACGTGATGAATTACCCTGGAACAAGTCGTCGTTGTCTGTTGAAATGACTTGGATTATTGGGTCATTTCACAACAATATAGATGGGCAGTTTTGCAATAAAAAGATAATCTACATTAAAATTTCGTGTCCATGTCAGCATTTGAGAAAACTCCATTAATTTGGAAACCTAAAATTTGACTCCATCTATTTGTCCTTTGACCTCCAAAACATTATTTTTTTTGGAATTATCCCTATAGATATATAAATAAAAGGAAAATAATTTATTAATTAATATTACTGTAACTTAATATTAATAATCTGATATATAAATTTTTAAATTTGTATAATAACTATATACATAGATTATATACGTAACATATTGTTAGTTACCTAGTGTGTGTGTGTTGTCGTCGCGTGCACCAACAAGTTGTAATAAAAGTGTGGCCAAGTTTAAATTTATAAAGTGTTACTACTAACTCTAACTACTAATATAGCTAGGGTGAGTAAGGATCATCCCAAGGGATTGGGGGCTATGTTAATATGGAAACAAGGTCAGATTAGTAGGTCAAGTGAACAAAAAGTGTTTTGATTTGCCAATTAAACTACAATGTAAATAAATTCAACACGAAGCAATTGAAGTAAATAAAATGATAGAGAACAAGAAAGAGAGGTCTTGGGATCTAGAGGTCACCACTAAATATCACCATTCTAGACACTCAATGTGTAATGAATGAGGGGAAACATGTGTTACAATACAAAGAGGTGTGATTGATTGAATCAACAATCATGGATTGACTAATTAAGTATACATTGTCTAGACAACCTAGTGAATAGCACAATATATCAAACTAAGCCATTAATCCTTCCTTTAAGCTCACAATCAACACACTAACAAGATAGAGAATTGTACTACTTGCATTCATAAGTATGGAACATCAACAACAAGTATGGATTGTCCTCACATCTAAGAAAGTAAAACACCTACACTACTTCAAAGTTAAGGACTTGAAAATTAAACTAAGGTAGAGGCACAATCCATCAAGAAATGAGTATGAACCATCAAATAAACCACAAGAGTATTCTACTTAAGCACTATGCCTTAACAATCTCTAGATTCATAACATCAATACACATAGACATGCATCAATAACATAAAACCAAGTGATAAATACATGAACATCTACTCTAGCATACATAGACATATGAATAGAATGAAATGATCAATTGGAAGTATTAATCAACACAAATCATTGTAAGAACATGATTTATATATAAATCAAGTGTCAAGACAACATTACAACACAAATCCCCTCAAAATACAAAACATCAAGGTCTAGAAAGCATGCTTAGGGCTAATTCTAGCCCCAAGAAGATGTTTAGTCACTCATTGATGTAGTCATCCAACCCTCAAGGGCCATCTCCATGGTAGAAATGCTCTTCTTCTTGATGGAAACCCTAGAAGAATGAAAGAACTCCCAAAAATAGTGTATGTCTCTCTAAGCTCTAGCCTCATCTCTAAGATATGTGATATGAGATATATTAAGATATCTAAGTTATGTTGAGATGTGATGTAAAAATGGCTCAAAATCCTTATATGGGTAACTCAAGTGTCACACCCAATGGTCAGGTCTCGTGCACTAGGACCCCTTCCAATGATTGTACAACGAGCCATCTTTTAATGAGCTGGACTCTGTTTTAATTCGGACTTGAGGAGGTTCGATCGATCGAATTCAGATGAGATCGATTGAACTGTGGGCAAATCCATCGAATTACGGCTAAATCAATCAATCCTTGGCGGCGCCTTTTTAGAATACAACAAATCTCTGAGATATTTTGGGATATTTTGGGAAAAAGACAAAAGTGGTAGGTGAGGATAAGATCAAGGAAGTTCGATCGATTTGAAGGAAGTTGGATTGATCGAAGATAGAATTTCTTTAAGGATAAGGACAAGGGTTCTTGAGATACCCCTTGGATCCGAGACACGGGTTGATCAGGCCCAGGCCCAAACCCGAGGGAATATCAAACAATTAATATTTTATAATGAACACGGAATACAAAATAAACTAAGAAATGAAATTAAAGCTGGAAGGAACTAAAAATCGAATCCGCAAAATATTATAATTATTAAAATCCATCAAACCCAAACTCCAAAACTCCATCAGTTTACAACTTGGGAATCCATCTCTAGTGGACCCCTATTAAACATCCAAACGGAAGATAGAACAACTGTAATCAACGTCCAGAAATAAAACTATAGAGAGAGCCCTACATCGTCGGAAGAGTTAATAGAGACCTCTGCTCAGCACGAACACATCTAAGCCTGGAACTGTCGTGTATCTGAAAAATAGAAGTGGGTCAGGCCCACGCGCAAGTTCTATACTACTACAATCCAAATAGAGGCCCGATATGCATGTACATCCTAAACAATTCAACAATAGCTAATAGTCCGTAAATATATATATAGTCACACTAAAGGACTCCCACTGGACTACAAGCCGGTCTCAACCTGAATAGAGGCAACATGCTAAAACGCACACGAAGTGGGCATATGTACCTATACCTAAACAGGGTACACCTCCAACCATCGTAGCCAGCTACACATCCAGATGCATATACGCTCCCTAGCCATCGGTCCTGAGGCTTAAGCTCATACCGAGGCACCATAACAGTACATATATAAAATCCATCCAAAATCCCTGGTATTGCCGCTCAACAAGTAGTTGCCATGACAATACAAATCCACGGGACTTGACTTTTAGTTAATCCCATCCTTATTCCAAGTAGGTGGGTAATGGTATTATTTTAAAAACCAAACCCATCCTTAGTATGCCACTGTCCCATACCGGTGCCTACTTTTCAATCCTCCAGTAGTCAAAAATACCAATAAATCAAGTATATATCAACT